TGGGGAGCACTGATTTCCACACCTGAACAGTCCCTGCTAATGACAGCCCTATCCTTATTGCCACTAGACAGCAATCAGATAGGCCAGCCTGCAAGCCACCCTGACAGCTCATCCACTGACAGGTTGTCAGGGAGCCAGCTGCTCTCCCTTCCTCATTCCATCTCTCCCACTGGAGGAGGGAAGCAAGAATAGTGCACTGTGGGACATTGGGGGCTCTCTACCTGGTCAGGCATTAAATTTTTTCTGGCATGACAAAAAAATTGTTTAATCAGCAACTTCACTGTTGAGGAGCTGAACTCTGTATCTCTTATCTTTTGTCTTGGGAAACTCGCATACTTCCTGCAACAAACCTAATATCTGGAAGAGGTTCATGATCTTCCTTCATAGCTCAATTTGTCTTCCTCTTGGTCCATGCTTTTCCTCTGGGTTTTTCTTTTCCCAGTCCATCTCTTTCTATCCCTGGGCAATTCATCCAATGAATATTTCCCAACACTCAGGTATTGTTCCAGGTTTCTGACCAGCCAGATCTACTTCTCGACACCTGTCTTCTACCTCATCACCAGGAATCTGGGTTTTCTGTTTGCCATGGAAAAACCCTGATTTTCTCCTTTGAAGAAGAAAAACCTGGGAAACCATGGGTTTCCCATTGCAAGCTAACAGAGTTCCAGCCTGCAAGGGGCTGCTGGGGCTAGGAGGGCATGGGACGCAAGGGGCAAGGGGCACCATGTGCATGTGGCAGCCAGGCAGTGTGGTGGAGAGCAGCTCCCGCAGCTCCCTCCAAGTAAGTCTATGAGGGCAGGGTGTGGGGAGGGGGCACAGGAAATGTGGCAGAGAGGATACGTGCCCCCTTCCCCCCCGATTTCTACAACTACAACGGGGCATGGGGCTGCAGCTGGGCCAGACCAGCTCCTCTTAGGAGCTGCCTTTGAGGCCCAGAGGGCAGGACCCAAAGCAGAAGGGAGCACCGCACCACCATAGCCATCAAGGAAAGGCACGACAGCACAGAGTTGTGCACCCCGCTGCTGTCAAATGAGCAGGGAACACCTCACCTTGGCAGTCATGACAGCATGGCACTCCTTCCTGCGCCAGGTACTTCCCACTGGGTCGTGGAGGCAGCTCCTGGACAGAGCTGGTCTGGCCCAGCTGTAGCCCTGCACCCCTCTGTGGGCACAGAAATATGGGGCAACATGTGCCCCACACACATCGACTGTTCCTACAGCCCCCTACCCCACACACCCACCCCCTTCCTCATATATAGGAGGTCTGGGGGGCAGCGGGTCAGGAGTAAGGGGTACCAGCAGGGCCAGGGGGCTGCAGCTTGGGAGTGAAGGGCAATGGCATGGGAAGGGTACTGGCATATCCTTTCTGTAGTGGGGGGCCCAAAACTGAACACAGTACTCCAGATGTGGCTTCACCAGTGCAGAATAGAGGGGAAGAACACTTCCCTTGATCTGCTGGCAACATACCTACCAACACAGTCCAGTATGTCATTAGCCTTCTTCTTTGCAGTAAGGGCACACTGTTGGATCATATTCATCTTACTGTCCACTGTAACCCCCTGGTCCTTTTCTGCAGAGCTGCTGCCCAGCCAGTCAGCCCCCAGCCTGTACTGTATATGGGATTGTTCCGTCCTAAGTGAAGAAATTTGCACTTGTCATTGTTGAACTTCATGACATTTCTTTTGGCCCAATCCTCCAATTTGTCTATGTCTAACTGAATCCTAGCCCTACCCTCCAGCATATCTACTACTCCATCCAGCTTGGTGTCATCTGCAAACTTGCTGAGGGTGCACTCTATGCCATCTTCCAGGTCGTTGATGAAGACATTGAACAAAACCAGCCCCAGGACTGACCCCTGGAGCACTCCACTTGATACCGGTTGCCAACTAGATACTGAGCCATTGATTATTACCCTCTGAGCCCGATGCTCCAGCCAGTTTTCTAACCACTTTACAGTCCATTCATCCATCCCATACTCCCTTAGCTTGCCTATGAGAATGTTGTGGAAGACCATATCAAAAGCCTTGCTAAAATCAAGGTATATCACGTCCACTGGTCTCCCTGCATCCAAAGACCCAGTCACTTCGTCATAGAAAGCAACTGGGTTGGTCAGGTATGATTTGCCCTTGGTGAATCCATGCTGACTGTTCCTAATGACCTTATTCTCTCTCAAGGGCTTTGAGATGGATCCCTTGATGAGCTGCTCCATGATTTTCCCAGGGACTGAAGTGAGGCTGACTGGTCTGTAGTTCCCTGGATCCTCCTTTTTCCCATTCTTAAATATGGGCACTATGTTTGCCAAAGGAAAAGTCCAATCATCCGGGACCTCTCCTGATTGCCATGGGTTTTCAAACATAATGGCCAGTGGCTCTGCAATCTCATCAGCCAGCTCCCTCCACACCCTCAGGTGCATCCCATCTGGCCTCATGGACTTGTATATGTCCAGCTTTTCTAAACAGTCCCTAACCTGTTCTTTCACTGCAGTTGGCTGCTCACCTCCTCCCCAAACTGTGCTGCCAGGTGCAGTAGTCTGGGAGCTTACCTTGCCTGTGAAGAGCGAGGTGAAGAAGGCATTAAGCACTTCAGCCGTTTCTGCATCCCCTGGTACAAGGTTGCCTCCCACATGCAGTAAGGGACCCACACTTTCCCTGATCCTTCTCTTGCTTCCAACATACTTGTAGAAACCCTTCTTATTAACCTTCATATCCCTTGCTGGCTGCACTCCAATTGCGCTTTGGCCTTCCTGACTTCATCCCTGCATGCCCACGCAATGCTCTTATACTCCTCCCTAGTTATTTGTCCAAGTTTCCACTTCTTATAAACTTCTTTTTTGTGATTAAGTTTACTAAAGAGTTCTCTGCTAAGCCAAGCTGGTCTTCTGCCATACTTGCTAGTCTTCCTGCACATCAGGATGGTTTATTGCTTAGCAAGGCTTCTTTAAAGTATAGTCAGCTGTCCTGGACTCTTCTCTACCTCAGACTGGCTTCCCAGGGGATCCTGCCCATGATTTTCCTGAGTGAGTTGAAGTCTGATTTTCTGAAGTCCAGGGTCTGTACTCTACTGCTCTCCATGCTTCCTTTCCTCAGCATCCTGAACAAAATTATCTCATGGTCACTGCTGCCTAAGTTGCCATCCAGTACTACATTCCCCATCAATTCTTCCCTGTTTGTGAGCAGCAGGTCAAGAAGAGCATGGCCCTTAGTTGGTCACTCCAGCACTTGTACCATGAAGTTGTCCCCAACACTCCAAAAACGTCTTGGCTTGCCTGCACGCTGCCGTATTGCCCTTCCAGCAGATGTTGGGGTGATTGAAGTCTCCCATGAGAACCAGGGCTTGTGATTGGGAAAATTCTAATAGCTGTTTGAAGAAAGCCTTATCTACCACTTCCTCCTGGTCTGGTGGTCTATAGCAGACCCTCACCACAACATCGTACTTGTTGCTCTCCCCTCTGACCTTAACCCAGAGACTTTCAACAGGCCTATCTACAGCTTCATACTGGAGCTCTGAGCAATCATATGGCTCTTTTACATAAAGTGCAACTCCTCCTCATCTTCCTTGCCTGTCCTTCCTGAACAGCTTGTACCCATCCACGACAATGCTCTAGTCACGTGAGCTATCCCACAGAGTCTCTGTTATTCCAATCATGTCATAGTTCCATGATTGTGCAAGGACTTCCAGTTCTTCCTGCTCATTTCCCAGGCTCCGTGTATTCATGTACAGGCACCTGAGGTAACTAGTTGATTGCTCTGATTTCTCAGGAAGTATGAGAATACCTCCCCTGTTGGCCCCTGCTGCTTGCTCTTCCCTCAGGTCTCCTGCTTCCACACTTACCTCAGGGCTTTGGTTTCCAGCCCCCAGTAAACCTAGTTTAAAGCCCTTCTCACTAGGTCGGCGAGCTTGTCTGGAAAGATGCTCTTCCTTCTCTTCCTCAGGTGGATCCCATCTCTTCTTCTTGGAACAACATCCCATGGTCGAATAAGCCAAAGCCCTGCTGGTGACACCACCTGCCCAGCCAGGTATTGATCTGCAGGATGCACCTGTTACTGCCTGGGCCCTTTCCCTTGACTGGAAGGTTCAAAGAGATAACGATCTGAGCCCTAGATCCCTTCACCTTTGTTCTACACCTATTGTTTCCCAGAAATGTCTTAATCTTATCCTTTGTACCTTCAAGTCTGGCATTTTCCTGGAGCTCCATGGTGCTTGAAGGTCACTGAGAGCACAAAAGAGAGGAGAGTCTCTCTGCTGTCAGTGCATATGCCTAGACATGACACAGCCTACAGCAGAAAGAGCTGAAATTATAGTCATGATCTCTGTAATATGCTCTGTGCTAACACACATCCTTAGCTTCTGCAAGCATCTACGGAATCTTTTCGTGATTTAGCTACAAATGTCTAAAAAGTATCTACTGAAGACAGGCAAACTGCAATTTTTCAAAACTGCTTGTAACTTGGTAAAATATAAGTGAATTTCTAAGAGAAAAACTAAAAGCACCCCCCTGCTAAAATGGCAAGTTCCTTCATAAAAGCAAGGGAACACTGGAGCTTTTAAAAGAAGTTGATAGAATTTTTAAATTTGAGCAACATGTCCAGCCCCCACCAATTTCATTTTAGAAACACAAACATTTTTTTATTTAATTAAAACAAAGACTGAAGCAGATGCCCAGGACAGAAAATTTCAGTCTAAAGGGGTAAAGTTTGGCAAACTTTAAAACTACTGAAAATAAGGACCTACAGTGTGAAGTGTCAGGCAACGTTAGTTATACATTCTACTACTAGATCTGTCATAATATGGTATTAGTCTACAGGATCATTTATCTGGCAATGCTCATTAGCGCTATGGGTCATGTATAGTTTTGTTTTGTTTTTTTTAATACATAGCAATAGCTTTTTGACATTCCTCATCCAGCAAATCAGCAAGTGAACAGACTGATACTACTTTTATTTAATGATGGCATACAATTAAGCAAAGCATTAATATTCTTTTCTGGTTTATTTGACTCACCTGCTTCTCACAATTTTCACCTGCATCTTTGAGCCCCTTTTTGTCTGGCAGAGACACGTTAACAGCAGGTTCTGGCAATTCATCTATATGAACAATGAATAAAAAGATAATTTGTAAATGAAACTTAATCATATCAGGAGTATTCTGTGAATAACCAGATCCTGCACCTAAAATAATTGCATTAAAAACACATGAAGATGGTTTTACTATAAACCAACATGTCAATGAAAAATCAAAGTTGCCTACATGAACTAAGGAAACAAGAAAACTTGCAAAATATGAGATTTACTATCAAACTGCTATCTTAATTTTGAACCAATAAAACCTTTTATAGATGATTACAATAGGTCAACACTAATCTTATCTTGTATCAGGGGCCAACTTTTTTGGCAGGCCTACCACAAATCAGCCCCACACCCTCCCAAACTGCTGTGCTGATCCCTTTCTCCTGCTTGATCTGCTGCTCTGTTTTCTGACCCCAGCCTTATGTTTTCCGTCTGATTTGCTGCGTTGCTTTCTGCTTCCTGCCCTATCTGTTGCTGTCCCCTCCCCAATCTGCCATGTGACACACACAAAGGCTGCCTGTGCCACTTGTAGCACCAGTGCCACAGGTTGGCCACCCCTGTTTTAGTGCCTGGCTTTCAATACAGCATGACATCAAGATATAACTACTAAGTTTCCTTAACTAACCTTATGCAGCAAGATGAATTTTTCAGAGAATGCAGGCTTTTAAAAAAATTAGAGAGAGAAATCGCCCCATGTCTTTGTCTGCACCAAGTTGTAACTCCTAAATTTTGTATCATTTTTTGATGATCGCTCCTTTTTAACTTCTGTGCTTATTCCGCACTTTCAAGTGGTTGTTCATCTACTCAGATTTTGAGTCTAATCCTACATGGTGAATCCACTGCTTGAGAGGCATATTCCTGATAATTTATTTTAAATGTGATTTAGTTGCCCCAGAGTCTCTGTGACTTTTGAAAAATCTAACTTAAGGACTCTTGAAAAATTTTACCCTAAGCCTTAGCGTAGACATTGGACAAGAGAAGAGCAAGAGGGGACCGCAGTAGCTTTCCATTCTCAACATTTCAGTTTTCAAGACACTTCTTTCCACAGTAAATGTAACTAAGCCAACTGGAAACAATTACATGATATGTTACTAAACAAATAAAATACCTTTGCTCTTTGGAGTTACTAGCTTTTGGACAAGGTGTAAACTGGTATTTTGGGGAGAAGCCTCAGTTTGATCATTTGACATTTCTTCTAATTTTGGAGGAGTAATTCTGCAATCTGTTCCTGCTGCATCATTTTTTGCTGTCAATGCTGACAATGGAGATGAATGATTCCCAACTGTCATGACCTTGGAACTTCTATTATTGGGTAAATTTTTAAGTGAAACACTGGTAGAATCCCAGTCTGATGCATCTGAAAAAGTGTGAAAAACGATATATGGTAAAAAAAGAATATATTAAAAAATTCCTATAGTAAAACTAAGTTCTAGCAAAATACACAGAAATCAACTGCTGTCATGCAGAAGACTATCTTTGTATCCTCAGACACATGCAGTGATTCAAAGTATTGCAGTCATGCTAGACACATAGAGTTATACAAAGCAGTTTATACACACCCAGAATCTATGGTTAAGAGAACACAGTTAGCTTGCACTTTAGCAAGCTGTAAAATATTTTTTGTTATCTTATAAGTACGGGACAGAGCTTTTTCCAGCCCTTTTGCACTAAGGCTTCCTTCCTAATAAATACGAGCCAAAAAACAGAGAAACATAGTAGTGCTGTAGTAGCGGTGATGGTCCAGGAAATATGTGGGAGGCAAAGATATTTTTGGAACAGAAGAAGAATGAGCTGCATTTAATAGCTTGTCTAAATCTATCCCAACCATGTCATTGGTCCAATAAAGATATTGCTCACAAAATCCTTACCTTATACATATGGGAAAGGGACAATTTGCTATGACCTGAAAACTTCATTCCGAGGGCAGAAGTTAATCTATACTTAAAGAGGAAGAATGTGAAAGTACTATCTTCCTCATTCTATTCTCTGTAGGCTTGGCAAATGTACAGTTTTTCAAAATTTACAGAATAATTAAAAGAAGGGCCCCTTGGATATTCAGATACTGGAAATTCCCAGCTACAAAGGGCATGACTCCCTGCCCATGAAGTTTTTATTAAGTCTCGAGATAATATTGGAGAGAAAAAGGTGCCATGTACCTTATTAAAATATGGAGTAGAGAAGGAGCAAGCATCAACAGAAAATCCTATGAAGTGACTACTGTTTGGGTGTGTATTGGAGTCTTAGCCCATGTATTAGGTCCCTAGATTCTCATACTACAAAAGGAAAAAACACTCATGTTTTATTAATAAAGCATTTCTCAACGCTTCAAGCTTCTTCCAAAAAATCACCTATAGCAACAGAAAGAAAAAAAGGGAAGCTTAAAGTCAACTGGATTCAAAATTAAGGCTGGCCTAAAGTATTCATTTTTTAAACAACATAGAAAAACAATTTGAAATCCCCAAATTAAAAATAATGTTTTTGTCAAGAAAACTACCAAAAAATGTACTTTTTTTGTAAAATTGCTATAATCTTTGACTGGTCAAAAATATTCAGTCAATTGACGAGTTAACTGACAATATTTGACCCATCAATTGACTGGCTTGCCAAGCCTACTTTGAAATGCATTAACATTATCTCACCTGACTAGATCTGAGTCCAAGATTTTGTAATCCCTTCATTCAGCTTTACAGGTATACCACCTTATTTTTGCAGTGGGAATACAGAACCCTGAACACAGAATCAGCTCAGAACTGATTAGTAAAATAAAAAAACACACAATAAAAGAGAAAAACTTTACAAATGTATATACATATCTATCTCTATATCTGTGCATGTATGCATGTACACTATATATATGCATATGCTAAAACAACCAAACTAAAATCCCATACATTTACCTATTCTGTGCACGGAATTTAGGATCCAAAAAGGGAACTTATTTTTGAGTCGCTTGTGTTCCTTAACAACTAAAAAAGTGCTATACAGTATGTTGTTAAAAACCAGAATGTTAGCAAAATTAACTATGGAAGTTAATACATTTTCTGGTAAGTAATTTATGCATGCAATTACAATTAAAATACTACAAATACCTTCAATATCATCTGCATCATCTAAACCAAATTCTTCCATTAAATCTGCAAAAGCGAAAAGCCAACAACATTTTAACTTAATATTTCCTATTAAAAGTTCCAGCTGCTCCACCAAAATTTAACATTGTAAACATTACCTGATTTTTGCCTCTCCCCAGTCTCCCTCACTTTTGTGGGGTAAGAGCTGTCATTTGTCTCTATGATTTCTCGAATGGACTTTTGCTATAAAATAGCAACATCAGACATTAAAATTGAAGATAATTACATATTAATTAAAAAGACAAATTCTTAGAATGAATGGTATTTACCTGTGAATCACTGTGTTTCTCTGAAAAATCTAAAAGAGGAAAAAGTTTTACCTATGATTATTTAAAATGCTTATGCAAGGGTCAGTGACTTGATGCAGAGTAAGTGGCTTATAACCATGCACTGTTTATTTGCAGTGTTATCTTAGCATATATGTAATTCCCAAAGACCTAATTTTAATTAGATTACATGCTTTATAGCAACCCTACCTGTGTTAGTATTGTAAAACATGATTGTTCCATCATGCACCTCAGATTTCAAGCAACTGAACAAGAATAGTCATGTGAAGCAATAAGGACATTCTGGTTAACAGAACAAGTACAAACCTTAATTATTTTTTTAAGTAGTATTTGGCACTCCAATTAGAAAATTAGAAAAAACAAAAGCAGACTGCAGTAGTTTAATGGCATACAGCAATGCAATAGTACTATTACTGTGATTATGCTACAAGTGTTTATGTAGTTATGAACTTTGTTTTCTATAAATGGAAGGGTGAGAGTTATACATAAATAAAGCAAAAATAAGGTCACCATTAAATGATATAATTTCAGTTTAATAATCCAATGATCACTTTGTTTAGTTTAAAAACAAATAATAGAAAGTTTTCTGTTTGGCTCTACTGTCCACCTGTAGTATAATTCTCAATAACAGCATTTAAATTTTTGTCTGATGTAAAATTATTTCCATACCCACGTGTTCTACTGGCCTGACTAAACTTCTTGAATCCTCTATTTTAGTCATCTTATAATTTCTTGATCCTCTTATGAAAGAAGGTATGTAAAATGTGTCTAAGGGAGGATGTATACCAACATTTTAATACTATTTTAATACTATAAATTGTAAGCGTTGTTATAAAAGAACATATCATTTGGATTTCTCAAAATGGGATACTGAAATACCTTACAAAGCTTCTGTCATCATTTTTCAGTAGTGATTTACTTATTTTAGAAGCACCATACCAAAGCAGTGGTACTCAATCAATTCAGCCCCACAAACTGGATGAGGGGTGCGGGGCCAATCCACAGGCTGGAACTAGCACAGGGTTGGTGGATAAGTATAAGACTAGTGAAAACACAATGCAAGCTACTAAAGACTTATTCCAATTACTCCTCCATTAAGTTGCTGTAGTCAATAGAGCAAGAAAATAACTTTTCTCTGAAGATTATCTCCTGAATTTAAAAGGTAAAGCGTTCATTGGTCTTATCTAAATTAAATATCAAAACTATCAATAATAGCAATTAACAAAAAGTTTTCTATTGCTGTTGAGAGTGCCTAGACTTTTTAAAGCCCTTCTAATACATGTGTATATATGAAATTAAATTTATTTTGTAGAAGTTCGCAAAGGATGCATAATAGTTCAATGAGGATAGTACCTTTGTTTGGTTCCTCTGAAATACTCTGCATATGTGTTTCAGGTCTGAATGCAGGTAAAGCCAACAAACCAGCTGATGGTTTTCTTGGGCTTTCAGAGGCACACTTGTTGATTGAGAAAAAACAAACAAGTAAAAATTATTTTTAGCCATTTTCCACAGAAAGTTTACAAATATTTAGTTCCAGGGCTATCTGAAAATTAGTATCAGACTGATTTCCAAATAAACACGTTTTTCAAGCTACATAGCACACTCAACACCTAAGGGTCTCTGCAAAAAAACTCTGGACAGAATATGCCATTATTCCATCTATTTGAAAGCAACATTACATATGAGTAATTTAAAAAGTTAGTAAAAGACCAGTTCAAATTTTCATCACCAAGATATTTGAATTTGCCTTGTTAAAACTAAATTAATTGTTATAATTCAGTATAAAGAGCGGGGGAACAGAGTAAGATAATGAAGCACATCACTGAAAAAAACTGCTTGAATAGCGACTACATTTTTATGATAAATGCCAGTTTGTACCTGTAGTGGAGGTGACGTTCATGTCCTCAATATTTAAGTCTACAAGGACTATGATCAACAGGTATGCAGTACAAAAGGAACTTCAGAAGAGCAAACAGGCCAAAGTTGATAAAACCAAATATGATCTTAAGACTTTAATTCATATTTAATTTAACTTTAATTCATATTCTTAAGTGAAACTATGTTAAGATGTCTCAAAAGGGAGGGAGCTAGCTCCGGGCACTGTTAATTTCTTCCTTACTGGGCACATCTACACATGAACTTTAATGTGCATTGCCCTATTTTAATGCACATTAAAGTGTCACTAAAAACATGCTTTTTACTTAATGAGCATTAAAATAGACTAATGTGCAAAAGTGTCATTTCAAAACTGTGGTTGCCTGTACACAAGTGTGGAGTGTACAAGCATATAAGGTTTTCAAGTGATATTTAATGTGCATTAGCCTATTTTAAAACACATTAACTAAAAAGCACATTTTTTTAGTTATACAGGTTGTAGTCATATTGGTCTACAGGCAAAAGGAATCAGAACTAGTGGCAGAGGTGAAATCTTTTATTAGAACAATGATATATTTGCAAAACACGTCTTTATTTGCAAGCTTTCGGGCCCTAGGGGAAATTTTACAATATTTGGATTCTCCTATGCCTGAAAAAAGGTGCCTGAAAGCTTGCAAATAAAGACATTTTTCTGCAAATATTTAGTTGGTCTAATAAAAGATATCACCTCTACCATGAGTTCTGATTCCGTTTTTTTTGTGATGCTTTAATGCACATTAAAATAAGCTAATGCACATTGAAATGCATGTGTAGACATACCCAGTAAAGAAAAATTATTATTGAGGATATGAGGATATCATATTGAGGATATGAACTTTACCTCCACTGCAGATACAAACTGGCATTTATCATAAAAATGTAGATGCTAGTCTAGCAACTTTTTTCAGTACGTGCTTTATTATCTTAACCTGTAATTACAGTGCATCAGAGCAGACTCCATTAATTGAGTCTGCTGGAACACGGCAATTACCGTGCTCCAGCAGCATCCTGCATCTCATGTATCAGTGTCCCTGTCCTTCAAAATGGCAGTGGGGGCACCTGAACTAAAGCTTGTCAAACGAGCTTTAGTTCAAGCGCCCCCACTGCTGATACATGAGATGCTGCAGCACTTTAGGTAGCTCCCAGAGCCGCTCTAATTAAAGCACCACCTCCCCATTCCCAGAGCACATGTAAAAGTGCCCCGTGCTCTTTAGTGAAGGTGCATTAGGACAAGCTAATGAGCATTTTCCTAGTATCTCACCATGGAAGTACTAGATTTAATGTACATTAACTAAAGCATGTTAATGCATGTGTAGATGCACCCACGGTCTACAAAACTGAATGACAACTGGGTCTTTTCCTTTATACATACTTTCAGATAGGAAAGGCAAGAGAACATAGCTATTTATGTATCTGTAATGCATACAATTTTTCAAGAAGTTCTAAGCACATGTATATCAACTAACAAGGAGGCCTAAATAGGAAATACGTAAAGAAAAAGGTAAAGGATCATATTCTGCCACATATTACTTCCAGCACCTAGGTAATAATGAGAATAATTCTATATTTGAAACAGAATAACCCAAAGTAATAAAATTCTGAAAATTTAACATGAGGAAGTTTTGGACAATTTTAAAATATTTTAAAGGCTTCCATAAAGAGATGGAGAAAAATTGTTCTTTTTTGGTCCAGAGAGCCACACATGAGGCAATGGGTTTACACTACAGCAAAGCAGAGGTGGGACAAATCTCCTAACTGTAAGAAAAGTATAAAAATAAGAATGACTGGTGTAGAAAAACTATAGAATCCCCTTCATTAGTGGTTTTCAAGATATGGCTGATTAGGCATCTCTCTAGAATGATTTCAGACTAGCATATCCTGTATCTGCAGAAGGCTGTACTGGATAACTCCTGAGATGCCTTACAAAGCTATAATTTCATTCTAAATAAGGGGTTAGCTATCAGAAGGTTATTAACAAACCTAACTAGACAGTTCCTGATATAATAGAAGCACTGCATCCCATTCTTACAAAATCTATAAATCCACCCAACTGTAAAGGAACATGAAGGCAGTTCAGTCCAGTCTTGTATAGGGGATGCAACAGAAGCAAGCACTGGAAAGGAAATGACTGAATGGAAATAATATGATAATGAGATTGGCTTAACAGAAAGTACCTCTGAATCCCAGGGTGATTCTGTATCTTCCTCCTCTTCTAATCCTAATGCTGACATCATATCTACAAAATAAAATAAGGAATTTTATTTTCTTGTACATATTTCTCATTGATTATGAATGCAAGGATCATCTACTCAAGAGCAAACTAATCTTAACCATGTGTACTATTAAGGCACTGCCCACTATATAGTCACATTTGCTTTAGGCCTCATGATTTAGGTTTTTTCCTTCAGTCCTCCAACTAAAGAAGCTCTATACCTGCTGAATACAAACAAAAGAAAGCTAAGGGACAGAGCCGAAAGAGTATATACACTGCTGAGTATCATGGCAATTAACCTTTTAGTGCCTGGCCCTAGAACTCTTGCTTAGGTACCTAGGTTCCCTAGAGAATACCTTACTAGGATCCAAAACAACCAGCAGGTTAAACAGGGAGAAGCCTAGAAGTAGCCAATAAGAAACACAAGCATATGATGCATTTCAAATCCCATGCTTTTCAGAGGCTTACGTCCTCAATAGTACAATGTATGTCCTCTGGTTGAAACAATACCTTTTTGAAATTGCATCCGGGAAGAGCCCACACCAACTGCAGAGACCTCCTCAGCCTAACAAAGGGTTTTTAAACCTGAAAACTTTCAAAAACTTTTTCCAACTATTTAAGTTGGTCTAATAAAAGATATCAGCTTCACCCAAAGAACCTTGTCTAACCTTTTTTAAATGCTCCTAAACCCACTATGCTTGGAAATATTCCAAAAGTTATTTCTGTCCGCACCCCTAGTTTCTGGATCTCAGTTGATCTACAACAATGATGTGCTCAGCCTGAGATGTTTCTGGACATCCACAGAAACATATTTTTAGGTACCCAAGGAACTTTCACGCTGAAAAATGAGGTTCTGAGGTCAAGGGTTGGCAGCCTTTTTGCCACTGTGGGGTGCTATTTACAACCAAGCCTCCCCCACAGCTGCAGAACCATATCCCCTGGCAATCAGCAGAGGCTGCAAAGCAAATAGGTAGAAAAGGGTGGGTGCCAGCACCCTGGGGATGCCTTCAAAGTGGCAAGACAAAATAAACTGAATAGGCAGGTGCTAGGACCCTGTGGATGCCTCCTCTGCTACAGTGGCTGGGTGCTGCTGATTCTCTGAGCTGCCACAGGCTGGATCTAGCCTCTTCAGAGGCCAAATCTGGCCCATGGGCCATAGGTTGCCAACCCTGATGTAGGGCGTTGAGCATTAGCCAGTAGCTAAGCGAGAGATTTCAACACTGCGGCGCTGGACACCAGCATCTAAAGTACAATGTAGGTCAAATATAGATGCCTAGGTCCCTTTTTTGGATATGGCCAGCTAAACCTATACACGTGAAAAATTGACATAATCAAAAGTCAATATTCTACCTCTACTGATTAGCTTGAAGGAACTTAAAACTGTAAAAAGATATTAGGGTTATTCTTAAGACTTAAGAGAATGAATAAATGACTGGTGTAACATATGCCCATTAACGAAGTACTCTGTACTGCTTAAGTACTCTGTACTAGCTAAACTCATTAAGATGTAACCTCACTGAGTGCATTCTTGCCATTTCAAAAGCTGAAATTTAGGGACCTAGGAACTTTAAACAAAAACTTCTCTGTCATTTCTTGCCAGGATTTGCAGATAAGTCAAAATGTTCACATGGTCCACAGTACTGAAGGCAGATTATCAGTTTCCAGCTATCAGGACTCTCATACTAGTTAAACCAAGAAAAACATTTGGGTTAGTATTAACTAACTTACTTTTCCTAACAGACACATTTTCTGAGGGATTTTGTACTTCAGGGTTAACATTAATCAAATTTTTATCCACATTTGAAGCTTGCAGTTGCTCTTCATTGTCTTCCTCCTCCTCCTCCTCTGATGATTCTTCCTAATAAAGAGATTAAATGGAAAATATCTGGCCATAAATACTACAAAAACGACATTACATTTGTCTTCTGATTTTATATTGCAACTACTTTATATTACCATCCCCAAGAGCTTGCCAGAATAAATACCAACACTAAGAATCTACTGGATTGTATGGAACCATGAGGTCAACTCTCTTTTGGGGAAGTACTCTGTTTAGGGTATAGGCATATAAATTCTTTTTTTAGGTCAAATGGCTGATTTTTTTTTTTAATCTAAGATTTTTTGGCGGGGAAAGGGGGTGGCTTTTTTGATGGGATGCACTTGACTAGATGGGAGCATCAATGTTTTATCATTTTTGCTCCAGTGAAAAAGATGTTGCAGCATTTTCTAAAGAAAATTGAGAATCTAGATACAGCTCATTTCCTCTGAAAGTTCTTTCCTTAACTAAACCTCTTCAACCAAGAATGCTTTGGTCACCGTAGAATCATAAGAAATTAGGGTTGGAAGGGACCTCAGGAGGTCAACTAGTCCAACCGCTGCTCAAAGCAGGACCAGCCCCAACTACATTATTCCAGCCAGTGATTTGTCTAGCAGGCTCTTAAAAACTTCCAAGGATGGAGATTCCACAACCTCTCTGAGTAACCTATTCCAGCACTCTACTACCCTCCTAGTGAGAAAGTGGTTCCTAATATCCAGGAAAAACATCCTTTGCTGAAACCTGAGACCAATGTTCCTTTTTCTGTCATCTGCCACTACTGAGAACAATCTAGCTCCATCCTTTTTGGACACCCCCCCCCCCTTCAGGTAGTTGAAGGCTACAATTAAATCCCCCCTCACCCTTCTCTCCTTCAGACTCAATAAGCCCAGGTCCCTCAGCCTCTCTTCATATGTCACATGTCCCAGCCTCCTAACCATTTTTGTTGCCCTCTGCTGGACTCTCTCCATTTTGTCTACATCCTTTCTGTAGTTGGGGGCCAAAAACTGGACACCATCTCTCAGATAGCGCAATTTATTTTCTGACTAAAGAATTTTGTTTTATTTCCTTTTTCATGTAAAAAATAACTCAGTTTATATGTATGCCTCAGTTTTGCTGATGATGATGAAGCAAGTGTCGCCACACACATATGCTGGAGGCATGATGGCTAGAAAGCCAGCAACAGGTAGAACAGTCAATGTCAATAAGAACCTCGGGTGCCCGAAGGAGGGCCATGAAGGCATTCATAGGTGATGTAGTCAGCTGTCTGAGCTTGAGCATCACAGATACAGCCAGAGTTGCTGGAGAGGCATGTTGGTTTAGTTAGACCACGGACAAGCAATCAAATTAAATGACATTACTGGGAGGGCAGGGACTTGCCAAAAAATGCCAGATGCATAGCATCTGTTCTTTGACCACAATTACCCAATTGTAGTGAAAGCTAAATCAGGGTGATTTAGTTGTTTCACTCGATACCAAATCACTTAGGTTTAGCTTTCACTAATCCTGGTAAGAACAAAACAAAAAAAACAACCCACAAACAGTTGCCTTGGTTGAGAACTATTCTGTGGCAAAAATCCCTCCACAGACACATTTGCCACATGACATTTAGATTTTATTAAGATTACAGCCTCTCTTCACAAACAATATACTGTGAACTCATCTTTTGACCAGAGATGACACTGACTCTAGAAATAAGAAATCTAACATTTTTCTTTTTTTCTCCCCTATTGCATCAAAAATCTCATTTAAATTAAAAAAGTATTGCTCATTACTATCCTAACTAATACATAAATACTCATACTTATTAGAATATTATGCTCAGTCATATTTTATTCTCTACTGAAGATTAGATCAGATTTAAATTCCATGAATCATTTTATCATTGTTCTGTTAACATTTTCCATTTGACTTAGTCATTATCTTTTTTTTCTTTATTTCTGCATTACCTGTATACAATTTGAATTGATCATTTTTACTTACTTTGGTGCTTGTTTGAAATGTTTCTTTCATAATTTCTTCCTGATCATGTAAAAGCAAATTCTCACTTTCTTGTATTAATAAGCTGCACACTGTATTATCCAGTTCCTCAGAATCCTCATATTGTTCCTTTGCAACATTTGGCTCCAAAGGTTTAGCGCTCACAGCATTATGACTTCTGCTTTCATGCCCTTGATTTCCTGTCTCTGACCAAGGATCATCATCACTTTCAGAGATATCACCTTGTACATTTGAGGTTTTACCCTTAATGGCACAGCTATTTAAGACAGATGGAGATGCAATTTTTTCCCCAGCTGTCATTTCAGAGTATTCAGAAGAGTAACTGGCTTTTCTGTGAAGCCCTCCCTCAGTCACACACCTTATTTTCTGAATTCCCTCAGTATCTTGCAGTTTCTTTAGATTTTGATATTCAACCTCTTCATGTTTATTACCACCTTCTCGCTGAGGCAGCCCACTATTTATCATTTTGGATGATACCGTAGTTACTTCTTCGTTTAAACCTTCATAAAACCCATCTATAAAAGACATGGGGATATCAATGGATTCCTGGATGTTCTGATCTATTTCGTCACATGTTTTCTGATTACCTTCAGGTACATTTCCACTTCCAGCTTTATCTTCTGTTTCACAATTAATGGTATTGCTAATGGTCTCCAATTCTTGAACAATTTCTCCCTTATCCTGTGACTTCTTAAAACATTCTTCTTCCTTACCATCTGTGCCATCACCCTGACTTTCTTCTTCCTCTTCTAAGTCTTCATCCTCCTTTTCTTCTTGACTAAGTTCTTCTTCCTCTTCCTCCTCTTCCTCCTCCTCCTCTTCATCATCATCTCCATCTTCTTCTTCATCTTCCTCCTCCTCTTCTAATTCTCCTTCCTCCTGATTGCTTGCATCTGAACTATCTTGATCTCTCATTTTTTTACCTTCTTTCTTGTCCTTTGTATCTACTTGTTTGGGGTTTTGTTTTGATGACTGAGGACCTTCCATTTTAGTATCCTCACCATCTTCAGAAAACCATAAAGTGTGAAAAAGCAAAAACAACATATGAACAAAAACGTTACCTTTATAAAAAAAAACAACAGAAAGTTTACCTGTGTGAAGCCCAGAAGAGGAGGAGCCATCTGGGAACGTTTTGAAAAGGAGCCGGGTGAGGGATGGATGGGATGAGGGAAGGACTTGACTTGGGACAAAGGCTTAGGAGGGGATTCAGTGATCTCTTCAGCTTCACAATCTGATTTATTTTGCAGTGAAATGGCTACATGTTCTGTTCTCATAATGCTACTTTTCTCATCTACTACAGTAAAAAGAAAAAGAAAATATACTCAGAAGGAAAAGAGAAATTCATAATAAATCTATTTTCACATCAACATGTAACATAGTAATTGATTTTTTTTTTCCAAATTGCTTACTGTTTTCCTTGAATTTCTGGGAAGCACTCAATAGCAGACTCAAGTTTGGTTTCTGCTGTTTCTGTAATCAAAAAATGACTTTCAGCAGAATAACATAACACAGACAGTAACAACTACTTTATTTATATCGAATAACAATAAATTTAAAAGACTCTCAAAATGCTAGATGGCTCCATCCTGTAGTCCTAACTCAGTCAGCACTCTCACTGAAATCAGTCACTAAGGCTTTTTACCATAAAATTAAGCCCATCTACAGTTGACAAAAATATTTTAAAATGTACCATGCCTCTAAATAATTCTATTTTTATCTGTTAGCAATATTCCTTAATGTTAAAATTAAGAATATATTAGGAATGTTTAGTTTTAACTTTATGTACATGTACTTTAAATATCTGACAGATTCACTAGAGATGGCCAGAAGACTAGTCAATATGGCACAATTCACTATTGGATACCAATAAAATTCCTATATGATAGGAAGATGTATAGCTTATTTTTTACATAGAAAAAGCAAGAAAACAGTATGAAAATCAAGCCCCTTTGGTCTGAGATTTATGGGAGCTCAACCACTTCTTGTTTCTTTTACCACTATAGAGTCCCACAGTACCAAGGAAAGATGAGTCATGGAATATGTATGAGATGCAAATCTATCTAGAAAGATAGATTTGCATCTCATACATATGTACATATTAGGGCTGTGCGAAACAGCACTGTTCCGCTTTGACGGAACAGTGATTCATTTTGAGTTTAGTTTAAATTGTTTCGACGTTTCACCCATAGGCTACAATGGGGAAGCACAAAACTGCCTATAACTTTGTCATTTCTTCCCTGACTTGGATTAAATTTGCAGGGATTGTAGCCCCTTCTGAGGGCACAAAGCCTGTCAAGTTTCAAGGAGATAAGTACATAGGTTCCTGGGAAACTGCACCTCATGCTGCAGCTTCCTGTGATTTGGCAGGCGGTTCCAGGGGGCCACACCCCCAGGAGGGCTGCGGGGCAGTGCCGGACTCCTCCCGAGGGAGCAGGCCCCCGATCCACCTGCCAGATGACAGAAGGCTGCTGCTGCCACCTGGGACCAGCGCTGGGTGTAGCCTGTACCCAGCACTGGGAAGACTGGTGCTGCTGCTGGCCCCAGGTGGCAGAACCAGCCTCCTGTCTTCTGGCAGGTAGATTGGGGGCCTGCACCCCCAGGAGGAGTCTGGCACAGACCCCACAGCCCTCCTGGGGGTGCAAGCAGGCCCCCGATCTGCCTGCCTGATGACAGAAGGCTGCTGCTGCCAGCTGGGACTGGCACGGGGTGCAGCTTGTGCCAAGTGCCAGGAAGATTGGTGCTGCCGCTGGTGCCAGCTGACAGCGACAGCACGCTGTCATCCGGCATGCAGATCCAGCAGCCCACACCCCCAGGAGGGTTGGGGGCTGTGCCAGAATCCTCCCGGAGAGGTGCAGCCCCCAGATCTGCGCCGGATGACATGAGGCTACTGCTGTCGGCTGGGACCAGCGCTGAAGCCAACTAAGCCCGGCTTCGAAACTCAAAACGTTTTGAAACTTTCAAAACGTTTCGAGTGCCCTTGTTTTGTTTCAAAACTGTTTCGATGGCTTTTGTTTCCTTTTGATTTTGCTGTTTCAAGCTCAAAATGCATCCAAACAGCTTTGAAACGAAACACCCGGTGAAACGTCGCACAGCCCTAATACATATATTTCAAGTTGAATCACACAGACAGACATATACACAAACAAGAACTTTGAGTGCTTCTCTTTTTGGTTTTGGTTTTTATTTTTCGTATTATGGAAACTTTTGTCTTCGTAGCTGCAAGTGCTCTGATGTGAAAAGCTATGAATTCAGAGTCTTTTTATGTAAGACTACAGCACAGGCCTGCAAAAAGCTGGGGCAGACTTACAGTCTCTAATCTTCTTATAGAAGTTAAAAACGGGAAGGCTCTCTCTGCCCTAAGACAGCAGTCTTTATTTTTAGCTAGATGTTCTATACTAGCTGGTATAAACAAAATTTAATATATTCCTAAACCCTTTTAAACAATATCTGAGATGAAACTGATTGACCTTTCATGCCTCTAACAAGTGGAATACATAGAGATTTGAGGAAACCCTGAAGGTTTTTTCTTTTGTAACTAAAGACTACAGTCCTACAAACATTTAATACAGGACGTTGGCAACCTGTAGCCCAGAGGTCAGATCCAGCCCATGAAGAGATGGTTCTGGCCTGTGGCGCACACTCCAACCAAAGCAGCAGAGGAGGCATCCCCAAGGTTCTACTGTCTCCATGTTCCATTTATTCCTTTTGCTGAAGCAGAGAAAGTAGTCCCAGAGTCCTACCTCCTGATTATTCCCCCCTCAACAAAACCAAAACCTCAACAGGCCAAAAATGTAGGCAGAAAGTCCTGGTCCATGAGTAGGGCTCCCATACTGTAATGCAAATGAACAACAACTCAGTGCTGTCTTTCTTTCCTAGAAGGTGTAGCCTCTTCCTCTGTAACAAACTAGCAGCAAATATATTTTAATCTTCAAATCCCCTCTCAAAATTAATCTCTTCTGGTTAGCCTTTCCTACTAATCGTCATGTATAGCTTTCTGTTACCACAGTCAAGCTTAATGAGGAGTATTTTATTTGTAAGAGCAATTAAACTAGACAAAAAATAGCCAGGAGTCTTAAAAATGGTATCTTGCTTATAAACAGTATCTTTCTCTCTCTGTTTTTTTTTAATCTCTTTTCCTCATCCTCATGATCTATTGCCACTTTCCCTTGTGTTCTTTATCCAACTTAGGTAATAAGTACAGGCAGTCCTCGAGTTACATTTCAAGTTACAACATATCACACTTACAATGTTTAGAAATTGACACTGTTTCAACTTTCTGACCTCAGCTTCGACCTGACAACGTTTGATCCAACGCAATGCCACGCCAGCAGACAAGTTTGCTGCATCACCCATCTCCCTGGAGAACACCTGTCAAACTTCCTTGGACACTTTCTTTAAGAAAGCAGACAAGACTCCAGAAAAACCTGCAGCCGAGACTCCTGAGAAGACTCCAGTCAAGAACCCTCTAAAAAATCCAACTAAGAGCCCTTCAAAAAGTCCAGCAAAGTCACCTAAAAAAATTCTTCCAAATCAATATGATTGCTATTTACAATATAAATACATTAATGTAGTTAAATTACTCATCTATAATTCATTAAGTATAAAATTCTGGGTTATTTTTGATGAACATACAGTATTGGGCTTTGGTTCAGGAACCAATCCCCCATTTATAACATTGTTTCCTATAGGAAAATTGGTTCGGTTACAACATTTCAACTTAAGACACGTTTTTTCAGGAACCAATTGTGTCGTAAGTCTGAGGACTGCCTGTACTTCAAAAACATGTTTCATGACTGTAAGATATCATACATATCCCCTATGACATTTCAAATATCATGCATTTTCCCCTAAGACATTTCAAATAAAGAAAAGAGCCGTCAAATTTAGTATATTCTGTTATATAGAGTTCAGTGACGGAACATACAATCAAGGGTGCCGTGATATCAAAATTAACAGGTATAGCCTTCATTAGGAACCTTCTATAACCTTGATATCCTTAACACGTCTCCCTCCTACTTTCCCCTTTATTTTTTCCCCATCTCTTCAGTTTCACCTGCCACCCCTGCTGTATTCCTCACATACTACTATTTCAATTTCGCCTCTCAGGCAATCTTCATCTCTACCTTTGTTCCTTGCCATGACTGTTGTAGCTCACAACTGAAGAGCTGGGATTTCCTAGTTCTTCAGATTTAAGCATTGTTATAAATATTGCAACTCATTATTTAAACAATCAGTCTATTGTGCGTGTTTTACAGAACAATGTAAACATATTTTTTAGCCTCATTAACAATACATCTCATATAAAACCTCCCTTAAAGCATCTGTTTAATGTTGCAAACATTGCTTCATCTACTGCTAACTTGGTATTGTTTTTTATTCAGTGGAGCACATATGAAAGGTGTTGTACAAAAAAAATTAGAGAAAACTTACTTAATACTCATTGAAAAACCCTATGTCCTGGCTTTTGTTTAGCGCTGGCAGCCTAACTTATTTAAATAAATTAAGCCAGATTTGAAAAAGACTGCTCATGTTACGCCTGCATTCATTACTAATCTTATGTGGATCCTGAAACAGTATCTCACAGGGCAAGCAATAACTTGCCAGCATATCCAAAATAAATACTTTGGTCTCAGTTGGAGAATTTAATTTTACACAGTATGATGGATCCAGATGTACATGCACAGAGGTTTATGGCATCACAAACCTCTGTGTCGCTACAAATTTGTGCCGCTGCAAATGCACACCCCTGTTCATGTGAACGTGGCCTATGTAGCTATAGGAAATACCTAACATTGACTGGGATAACTTTTAAGGTTATAAGGGGACTGAGAATTTTTAGACGTCCCCAAATAGTGGAACTGCTTATTCTTGGAGTCTCTTGACCATCAGCCTTAATAATTAAGGTGTAGCTAATTCAAAAGCCAAAACAGAATGGTTTGTTGATTCCATGGTCTAATGCAGTGGTTCTCAACTTTTTTTGTACCAGGACCTATATGTAAACATCGATGGCCAGTCCTGACCTGCTGCCCCCATGCCTCAGCCCCACAATGTGTGGGGCAGGGGGTGGATGTGTGGGGAGAAGGGGGGCACAGTTTCCCACATTTTTCTCCTTTAAAAGAGAATCCATTTTTAAAGTCGTTGATCCAATTTTGCACGGTTGTTGGTAGAGTCTCCCACTGCCTGAAGAAGGGTGTTTATGCCCAAAAGCTTGCAAACAACTTTTTTCCAACTATTTAGTTAGTCTAATAAAATATATCACATCTATCTAAAGAACCTTTCCTGCCTTGATCCATGTTTAAAGTTTGTTCGCAACCCTTTTGTATATTCTTGCAACCCACAAGTTGAGAAACGCTGATTTAATGGACACATCTGCAAGTCCTCATGTAATGCAGGCTGATCACAGACACCTGAGAGGATGAACTCTTTCAGGAAATACACTAAGGGCGCATCTACACGAGATGCATTAGTGA